AGGGAGACAGAACATAAGACAATATCAGGGCGATCTGGATGATGGGCTAAGGAAGAATCATCCTCTGCCAATTGAGAAGAAGGGTAGGAAGGGGTCGTAGGCGCCTTACCTGTCTGTTCGTTCTTACCCTTAATCTCAGTAGGAGCAGATGCTACTCCTACTGGTTGTTCGCTTTTGGGTTCCGGATTTGAGGGCAGTAGGCGATCACATGTCATGCTGTCCCTGATTTTTGCCAAGAATTGTTTCAGCGTCAGTGTCTTTGCCCACTCACCGATATCTTCGAAACCCGCCGCATTGGCCTCAGCCAACACCCATTGCTTGGCCTCACCACCCATGCAAGAAGTGGTGAACGCGACTTGGGAGTCCGGCTCGACCGGTGCGGTACTCACATACRTCTGGATTTCTGCAATCCATAGCAACAGACTTTCTTCTTTCTTGTTGCAAAACGTAAATGGCAACTTCATCTTCACCTTTTCTTTCTTTTTCGGTTTTTCGGGTTCAGCGCGTATCTTTTCTGGGGTTTCTTTAGGAGTAGACTTAGAAGAATGGGAAGAGTGAGGAGTAGATGGTGGACTTGATCCATTTCCATTGAATCCATTTTCATTTCCATTTGTCTTTATCACAGGACCAACAGACTTTATTGCGTCCCCCATCAATTTTTTTACTTCTTTCTTCTCCTTCTTCTCTTCTTGTTCTTCTCCTCCCTGAATCTGATTCTTACCTTTYACAATATTAGCAATTGTTCTCAATCCAACAGCGATTTCATCCAACTGATTCTGCTGTCTATCAATCTTCTCTTCTAGAAAGGTAAGATATGTCACAATATGAGTCAACGTTTGTGACATGTCAGCCTGCTCACTGACTTCTGTTCCTATTACTTGCCTGATCTCTTTAACTCTTTGTCCTCTTCGCTGTTCCTGTTCTCTTCTTCGAGATACTTCTTCTTTCTTTCTTTCTTCCGCAGCCAAGGCCTCTCTTAGCTGCTGGATATTGGAATCAATCGATTCTTCACTTACTTCTGTTTTTACTTCCCCCTTGCGAGTAGCTTCCATGATCTCTTCCAGTTGCTTTAAAGCAAACTGGTCTAGAGCCTGTCGCCCTTGAGTAATCAGTTTGGAGGCCTTTGTACCGGCTGCCACAACTTCCACAGTCGTGATAGACTTCTTCAGACGGTCTTCAACCCCCTGAAGATCGAAATTATCACGGATGTGTTGTTCGGCATCCGGTCCAGACAGCTGTACCTCCACGAGGAACTGATTCCACAAGGCTAACAGTTCCTCTCTCTTTCTGTCAGCCTGTCCCCTTGTCCTGAGTTCGGACGCTCCTTCCCCAACGGAAAGTAAGATCGGAAAAGAAAACAGGAAAGTAGTCAGGAATCTCGTCAAGATAGACTGTTGCAGACATTTCCAGAAGTAAAACATTTTGAGAGAATAGAAACACGAAAATTCGTTGGCCAGATTATTTACCGCAAAAATAAACAATAATTCACAGTCACCTGAATCAGCACGATGTTCTACCGCAAAAGACAATAATTTCACGGTCACCTATCCGACACTCTATTTGAGTCAAAAAGAATAATAATAATAAGGAACATAAATTTTTTAATTCTGTTTGCTGTTCTGTTTTCAATGTGATGACATCCTACTCTATCTCAGGTACCGCAACTCCAGGCCAGCATGATCATCAACAAACACAAGTGAGTACACAGGTACACAACACAGCCAGACAGCAGGTAAGTCCGCCAACAAAAATCACTCAATAGTTAGCGTTTTCCCCTTCTTGCCGTTTCGTCCTTCTTTGTCCTGTGTGACCGGCACACAATCTGACGTTCGGCACCACAGCCACGTCAATCTTCTTGCCGTGCCGCTTTAATCATCAAAATGCTGTTTTCACTTAGGCACGATCGTGCCTGCCACGTGTCACCCCTGGCCTGCCAACTCAGCAACTCGATGAGTATGCCAGGTCAGCAGGTCTAATCAATATCATCCATGGGTGCACGTCGGCAATGTATGCTGAAGTCGAAGTACCAGCCTGCCACAAAGTCGAAGTTCCAACCTGCCACGTGTATTCCTTGGGGTGCCAACTCAGCAACACTTCTGTCTGCCAGGTCAGCACCAAGGTCCAGTCAGCATCATCGAGGGAATACACGTCAGGAGCAGTACCAACGTGCCACGTAAGCCAGGTAGCGGAACATGACACTGCCACGTCAGCCTGCTATCTCACCGAATGGTGAGTCAGCAATGCCACATCATCAATCTGCTATCATCCACCGGCCACGTCATCGTTATAATACCACGTCAATGCCGCGTCAATGCCATGTCAGCATCGGACATGCGTACCAAGGTCACATCAATGCCACGTCAATAATCTGACATGCGCTGTCTTCGCCACGTCAGCCTCTTCAATGTAGATGCCACCACTTGTCGTTGTCGTCCCTGTCACAGATCGGAAGATCWGCTCCGATACCAAATTGCAATGAGCCCAGACGTGATGATACTCGTCAACATTACCAGTCCCTATGATTATCGATCTGCTGATGAAATGACAAATAATCGTAATATGTGTGATGATAGAATGAGGTGAGAATCATACACAGACGAAGGAGGAGAGAGGGAGAATAGACAAAGGAGAGAGAAGAAGACAACAGCCCACTTCTACTTCGGATTCCTCCTCCTCCTCGCCACCTCATCAATCAATAGACTGAATACAATGTCTGAAGTTCCTCCTCAAGGTGCCACGTGGCACGTCAATCTGTCTACATCAGCAAATGGAGAGTATCGTCATCAACCAGGTAYGTATCCTCGATAACCACAGTCTTGATCTCCTTCCGAAGTGACGAAGAATCAGAACAGCCTCATCAACCTCGCAGCCAGCCACGTCATCAATCATATACAGGTGGCAGCGGCCACGTCAGCAACGGCGCGTGGCAGCTGCCACGTCAGCATGCCYAGAAGACCATCGCCAGCCAGCACCTTGCCAGCCAGCAKCGCCTTGTTGTCCTCCTCTGCCAGCATATAGCCGGCGTCAAGCCAATGTCGCAATGTCGCAGCATAGCAACAGCGTCAAGTCTACGCGTGAAGTCAGCATTCACGCAAGACTGAATGTTCTCCAGCCAGGAAGTCAACTCTTAAATAGCGTGGATGCGGGGTCTGGACCCCGGGTACTGAGGTCCTGCACCGTCCAGATCTCGATATGAATGAGGGCCCAGATCGGCCAGAAACTGTATTTCTCCCGCCMTGAATGYTGTCTGGGTACCTGCACACAACAAGTGAATGTATCCGTCCATAGGCCTGGGTACGGTACCTTTGACTCTACAGTTGTCTTTGACTGTTGAATTTCCCTTGTGCTGCGTTTGGTCACACAGCCTCCTCGACAGACTCAGGCTGGGCATGTCTCGGTCACATAGCCCAGCACAGACAACTGAGTCTGTGTCTTACCGGGGGCAAAGTTCTGAGCCCCGGTCTGCTGTTGAACAGGGTTACTGCAAGTAGGTTAGCTATACCCATTCCGTTGTCAAATACCGTGTATCGGAAGAGACACGGAGGGCGGCTGACGTGCGGGGGCTGCGGAGTGAAGGAGGGAGAAGGGGTGGCAGGGATTCGGTTCATTGTGAATCTCATGTAGTAGAATACTGAAATGTAGTCGAATACTGGACTGTACTGGATACCTTGGGAATAGATGATAGCATGGGTAGTCTCCCCGACTGGGCAATCGGATGTGGGAGCTCGGGGGAAGCTGTAGTAGACGGTTAGTGAACGACTTGGTGTGATTCTTGACGTAAGGCCCATGCACACGGGTGGTGTGCTTGTATGCATCCAGGGCTCGGACTGAGGAACAGTCAATTGTGGAGAAGATACTCGGGGAACAGTTGGGGGAGGGGTATGACTTCTAAGTATGAATTGGAGTAGGCAATTGTGGGGGTGCCACTTCGGGAACCGCGGAGGGTACGGGGATGTGACTGCGTGATTCCCACACAGGAGCTCTAACGCTCGGCTAATGGCCAGATGCACTGACGGGGGCGGTCAATCTGGGTTAAATTGTTGTCTGGCAAAGCCGGGTACAGTACTGCATCCTGGATTCTCTGGCAATCGATGACAGCAGGGATAATTTCCCCGAGTGGGCAATGGGATGCGAGAGCTCAAGGAAAGCTCTGTTAGACGGTTAGTGAATGGCTTTGTGTGATTTTTGAAAGCGTAGCCTGTAGATAAGGGTGGTGTTGTTGTACGAACCCGGGGCTTGAACTGCGGCACAGTCAACACCCGCTGTCTGATAAACCCGCGTGACTGCGACACTTTGAGTGCCATTGAGTAAATTTATGAGCTGTAACCTGCGAGCAACCTGCGGGGATGCAGTGAAGAACACATTGAACACGCTGCACCCAACCGCAACAATATGGCACAGTTATTGAAAATTGCATCATTGAACGTAAGAGGGTTGGGGGCGGCCTCGTTCAGAACTAAGTGGAAAGAGATTAAGGGATTGGTGGACCGTGATCGGGTCCAGCTCCTCTGTTTGCAGGAAACTAAATTGTCTGATCATAGATTAACGGAAGGGGAGTCGCCGCCAATCAAGGCGAGCCTTCAAGCTGGCTTTCAGCTTTGGGCGCCGGCAATAGGCACGGCCGGGGGAGTGGCCATCCTTTGCACCAAATACTTCAAGGGGGAGATCCGGGATTTTTTCGCAGACACAGAGGGTCGTTGGGCCTGGGTGTACACATACCTTGCTGGGGAACGAGTCCTGATTGCAACTGTATACGCCCCCCCACAGCTTAGGGACAAATGTCAATTTTGGCACGCCTTCTCTGTTAATATCCCTGACGCCGACCGGCTAATCCTGATTGGTGATTTTAACACGGTTGTGGACTCACCCTCGCAATTAGCCTCCCGTGCCCCTTACTCGCCTGACGCGCTTGCCATGATAAATGTGCTGACCACCATGGGCCTGCACGATGCCTTTAGAATGCTCTGGCCCCATGAGAAAGGGATCACATGGGTCGGACCGGCGCTTAAAACATGCAGCAGAATCGACATGGCTTGGCTGTCTCAGACCGCAGCGCACTGCTTACTCGACTTTAGTATCACTCCTGTGGTCCGTTCGGACCACAAGATGATCACTATCACTCTGGCGCTCCCGACTGCACTGCACACTAGGCCCCCCCCCTCTACCGTCCCGGGATGGATCTTTTCGGAGGAGCGGTTCCGCAATATGGCAAACCAACATTGGCTCTACTGGTCACAGCTTCGACACCCGGACCAGTCAGCCCTTCAATGGTTAATGGATGGGACGGCGGCTCTGGCCAGGCTACTCAAACAGGCGGTGCTCGCGTCCAAGCGGGCAAGGCGACTGATGGCGGAAGCATTCATTAGAAGAGCACTGGAACTCGGCGATGGGCCGCCAACAGAAGATGGGGAGGAGGAATGGTGGATGCAGTGGGCCGCGCTGCAGGTGGAATGGGAGGACTGGCAGATTAAGGACGCGGAATCATGGGGACTGCGTAACAAAGCACAATGGACAATCGCGGCGGGGCGCATGACGAAGACATTCTTCCGGAGACTCCACTCGAAGCGGCCGGCCTCTATAATGATGACACTGCAGGCCCCATTTCAGGAGGATGGACCGCTTGCTGACAATACCCAGACCATCCTGCAGTTCGCCCACGAGTATTACTCCTACCTGCTGACCGATGAACAATCCTGGACGTCGGAAGAAATCATTGCGGCCCCGGCCTCGGCGATATGGTAGAAGACGACTGCAACGTTGACTGACTCGGACTGGTGTGACCTCGACGAACCGATTACCGAACGAGAGATCGGCGAAGCGTTGGCAAATATGCCGGCCGGAAAAGCCTCGGGACCAGATGGAATGCCGGTGGAGCACCTCAAGGCTTGTCTGGTGGTTCTCCTGCCGCATCTCCTCGAAGGCTTCAACAACGTGAGACAAGGAGCCAAACCCCTCCCCGAGGAGTTCGGCCTGGCAACAATTATTTTGGTGCATAAAAAAGGCCCTCCTAAGGATATCCGCAATTGGCGGCCTATCTCCCTGCTGTCTGCCTCGTACAAGTTGCTTGCGAAGATCTTGGCCAACCGCCTTGCCTGCAAACTCCCTCAGATCGTGGATTCAACGCAAACAGGCTTCATCCCGGGACGGAGGATCCTCACCAATGTCTTGCTGGCACGACAGATAGTTTGGCAGGCCCAGCGGCATGACCCGCCCCTGGTGTTCGTCCTCCTAGATTTCGAGAAAGCCTACGACAGGGTCTCTTGGCCATTTCTGCTTGAAGGCCTGCGACGATGGAGATTCGGCCTGAGATTCCTCTCCATGGTGAAGAGTCTCCTGTCCTCAGCGGCGTCTCGACTCCTTATCAACGGTTATCTGTCTGATCCAATTCCTGTCACGTGCTCGGTGCACCAAGGCTGCCCTTTGTCCCCGGCACTATATGCGCTCTACATCGAACATCTACACGATATGATTAGAGCGGACGAGGAACTGGAGGGGCTACAACTCCCGGGAGGTAGACAACTCAAGTCCTCGGCATTCGCGATGACACTGGCGCAGTCACTGCGATCACGTCGGCTAGCGTCTGTGCTCTGCGAACCCAGGTGGGCATTTTTGAAAAATTTGCAGGGGCACGCATGAACTGTCACAAATCGGTGGCGCTGGTACCGGACCTCGCAGCTGCTCCTTTGTTCCAAGGCATGCGGGTCCAACCGATGACAGAAACGACAACTTATTTGGGCATCGACCTCCCTCAGGCCCTCACTGACAGTTCCCAGATGGAACAGTTGATGAGGAAGGCGGCCACACGACTTGCCCTTTGTGGAAAGACGGTGGATGCTGGGATATTTGGCAGAGTGTTCCTGGCGAACACGGTGGCCTCGGCGATGCTTTGGTATGCGGCCCCTGTCTCAACTCCGGACCCGGTCCCTCAACGGGAATATTGGACTGCGCTTACCAAGTTCATCTAGAAGAATGACCCGTTCGATCCGCATGCAATCCACCGGGTCTCCTGGCGCAAGCTCATTCAACCAAAAGCAGGTGGCGGCAGTGGTGGAAGCAGGAGATGGGAGGAGACTGTGACCAGATGTCACCGGACGAGTGGGCTGACTGTCTGCTCGTCGGCCCGGCCCTGCGGCACCCTCCCATTCAAGGCCAACGGGTGTATGCTATTGAGACCATTAGAGCGGCCTTCCTGGGCGCGGTCTGGGCACTCAGAACGCAGCTCATCTTTCAACAGCGCCCTCCTACCTTTGCGGCTCTGAGGGCGATGAGCCTTGCCAACCTCCGAACCGCCATCGCGGCCGATGTCAAAAGGAAATCGCCGACGGCATGGTCGCTGCTCCAGCAAACGTGGGCGCCATACTCCAAGCTTGTCCAACTTCACGACGAGCCCGGGTCCTGGACATGGCTCCCTGAAGAAGGGACCGACCTTCCGGAGGAATCATAGTAAGGGGACACTTAGTGACAGTTGGAAGAGGACACCCTTAGCTTGATTCGAATCACAGTTCGGATGCATGAGTAGGGAGAAATAGAGAACACATACTTTGTAGGACAGCTCCGGTAGATGCGTCGAAATAACAGGATTATAGGAAGTGTGACGCGCAAGTCGTTAAGCTCGGTTGATGCTATAGCGGGGAGTTGTAATATAATTGGGGGAAGATTGATTAGAAAAGTGAAAATTGGTACAGAAGCCCGCACGGGCTCCATATGAAGGCAAATAGCCGAACTAAGGTAGTCACAGATACCGACATGGATGGTGACTTAACCGGATCGATTGTGACATATGACTAATGACTGACGTGGTCTTTTTCTTGGGAGGAGTGAGGGGCCTGCCTCTGGGCATAACAGGCTCTCCCCCCCTTGATACCCCCTCTGTGATTGGGTGCTAACGCCTCCCGACACAGTGGGCCTCAGGGGCGGCCAACCTGGATACGTGCCCTCAGGCCAACCCCGGCGCAAGCGCCACTGCCTTCGGGCAATGACGAGACCCCCGTTACTCCTTCTATTGCTCATTCCTACCTGTATTCTGGGACGCTGGGCCCGATTCCCAGCCGGTGTTGCTCCCCACCAATAGATTGGAGCCCTCCCCCGGGCGCTACCGATGCCTGCTCCTATCAGCATCGTTATCACACCCGGTGGATATTTAAAAAAAAAAAAAAAAAAAAAAAAAAAAAAAAAAAAAAAAAAAAAAACCTCCCGCTGCACCAAGTGTCCACCAAAGTTATTTACATAACGTTGTCTGCTCCCTATCGAATGGACCAGGAACTCCAACACCGCAGGGCCAGACGGGGCTGGCTGAAACAGTCCTTCGCTGTACAGTGGACCCCTGCTGCATGGAAATCCATGGCCAGCCGCCTTCAAACGCTTTCCAATCTCAAGCACGCAGGGCTCCTCTGGCTGAACATTCACCTGGCGCTCCCGACAAACCAGTGGCTTGCGAAGCGCTCATCCTACTCAGATGGGAAATGCCCGCACTGCGCTGCAGACTGCGAGGACATCCCCCACGTCTGGAGCAGGTGCCCCCCGCAACAGCAATTCTGGCAGTGGTGGAAGCAGGAGATGGGAGGAGACTGCGACCAGATGCTACCGGACGAGTGGGCCGATTGTCTGCTTGTCGGCCCGGCCCTTCAACACCCCCCCATTCGAGGCCAACAGGCGTATGCTATTGAGATCATTAGAGCGGCCTTCCTGGGTGCGGTCTGGGCACTCAGAACGCAGGTCATCTTTCAACAGCGGCCCCCCACTTTTGCGGCCATGAGGGCGATGAGCCTTGCCAACCTCCGAACAGCCATCGCTGCCGATGTCAAAAGGAAATCGTCGACGGCGTGGCCGTTGCTCCAGCAAACGTGGGCGCCATACTCTAAGCTCGTCCATATCCACGACCAGCCTGGGTCCTGGGAATGGATCCCTGAAGTGGGGACCGGCCTCTCGGAGGAAACACAGTAAGGCGACACTCAGTGGCAGTTGGAAGAGGACACCTTTAGCCTGTTCGAATCACGGTTAGAACGCGCGAGTAGGGAGAAGGCCCTGGTGGGTGAGGAGAAATAAGTGGACCATAGGACGTGCGACGAGCGACTCTCTAAGCTCGGTAGATGTTATAGTGGGGATCTGGTATGGAATTGGGGTAATATAGGTTAGAGGAGTGAAACTGGTATAGAAGCTTGTACAGGTTCCATATGGGAACGGTGACCACTATCTTGGACAGAAAGTGTGATAGACGGTAGAGGCTGGAAGGCCTTGAAAAAGAAACTTCTGCCCCGCCCAGAGGCAAATAGAGGAGCTAAGGTAGTCATAGATGCCGGAACGAATGGTGACTCAATCGGATCGATTGTGATGGATGATTGACGTGGTGATCTTCTCGGGGGGAGTGAGGGGCTTGCCTCTGGGCATCGCAGGTCTTGCCGCCCCTGATACCCCCTCTGTGACTGGGTGCTAACGCCTCCCGACAGAGTGGGCCTCAGGGGCGGCCAACCTGGATATGTGCCCTCAGGCAAACCCCAACGCAGGCGCCACTGCCTTCGGGCAATGGCGAGACCCCCGTTACTCCTTCTATTACTCATTCCTATCTGTACTCTGGGACGCTGGGCCCGATTCCCAGCAAGTGTTGCTCCCCACCAATAGAATGGAGCCCTCCCCCACGTGCTACCGATGCCTGCTCTTACCAGCATCGTTAGCACCATCGGGGGACGTTTATAATAATAAAATAATAATAATAATAATAAAAACTGTGAGAGCTTTACGGTTCGCTAACATCCCCGACCCCCATGCAGAGCGCAATCAAGGCCCGATGGCAGAAACGGAACTGCCTGCCGCAGAACATTGATGCGACGTGGAATGAGATATCTTGGGGCAAGGCCTGCACCGGACTACAGCTCCTGCCGAATCAGAAACACGCTGGCCTGCTATGGCTCAACCTGCATCTCGCCCTCCCCACCAAGCAATGGCTCGCAACCCGCACATCATTTAAAGACCCTTCGTGTCCCCAGTGCTTAGCCAAAACAGAGGACCTTCCACACCTCTGGGCTGGCTGTCCGGTCCAGAATCAATTTTGGACATGGTGGCGAGAGGCGGTCGGAGGCGATTCCCGGACCATGACCGCTGAAGAATGGATGACCTCTCTGCTGATCGGCCCCTACCTCAGCCAGCAGAACATTCGCAAAGAAAGAGCCTATGCTATCGAAGTTATTAGGGCGGCCTTCATCGGAGCGGTCTGGGCGCTCAGAACAGCAAGTATCTTCCAACACAAACGGGCTTCCTTTCCTRCATTGCGGAACATGACTTTGGCAAATCTCAGAATCTCCATAGCGTTGGACGTCAAAAGGAAACCCCCATCGGCCTGGCCATACCTCCAAGCGGCCTGGGCCCCCTACTCTACATTGGTTACAATTGGGGACGCCCCTGGCCTATGGAAATGGAGGTGGGACCCGCCGGAAGTGCGAGAAGAAGGGGACTGATCTGGGACATGAGACCATTAGATTGAGCCTTGTGTAAAGCAACCACTCCGGCCAATCAGAAGCAGTAGCTAAGACTAGGTAGCAGCAGCAGAACTTGATGCACTACAAGTCGTGGCGACTTTGTTTTTTTCCACACAAGGCAGTTCCGATCTATTGGTGGGGAGCATCACTTGCCGTGAAACGGGCCTGGCGTCCCACACAAAAGAGGGAAGGGTGGAGGGAAGAGAGGGGAAGGGGGTATCAGCTGTCCTAAGACAGAGCTGCCGGCGGCAGAGCCGGCTTCAAGCGAAAGCAGAGGGACCCACGTGTTGTGAATCGTTCTTGTCGGGAGGCACATGGTGCACCTAGTCAYAAGAACGGAGGACAGACCCGGGCCGTCTG